CATCCAAGGATGATCCACCGATACGGCCCTACACACAGTTGTAAACCGTATAGAGTGGGCGATGGAGAACAAACTCTTCACCTTAGGAATGTTTTTGGATATTGAAGGAGCGTTTGACAAAAGCATAGAACTAGCCCTACGAGAGCACGACGTGGACACCACCCTAAGTAGGTGTGTGGAAGGTATGCTGAGGAATAGGGAAGTACTGATTAATGTAGGTGGCACTGAGATCGAGGCTGTTGTAGATAGGGGATATCCTCAGGGAGGAGTTCTCTCTCCTGTACTATACTGTCGTTGACAGCCTGATACACCGCCTCAATGATCTTGGCTACCACACAATTGGATACGCGGACGATCTAGTCATTCTGCTAACAGGAAAAAACGCAGATACATTATGTGAGATAATGCAAGCTGCAGTAAAAATAGTCGAGGAATGGTGCAGCAGACATACCCTCTCCGTTAATGGAGAAAAGACGAAACTAATCCTGTTCACTAGGAAAAGGAAAATTGGTACACTACAGATGCCAAAAATATTTAACACAACGCTTCAACTTTCGGACGAAGTCAAATACCTGGAAGTTGTATTGGACTGGAGATTGAATTGGAAGAAGCATGTAGATGATAAAGTGGAAAAAGCACTCACGGCTCTTTGGAAATGTCGTAGGGTGGTGGGAAGGTCGTGGGGTTTAAATCCCAAGATGGGTCTCTGGATCTACAGGGCAATAGTCAGACCGATGCTGTGCTATGGAGCTTTAGTTTGGTGGCCCAGAGCCAGACAAAAAACAACAGCCCTGCAACTTGAACACGTTCAGAGAATGGAGTGTCTCAGTGTTACAGGAGCAATAAGGACCACTCCCACAGCGGCTCTGGAGACTCTTCTTTGCTTAGCACCTCTTAACCTTTACATAGAGGAAGCGGCAATGAGGACGTCTCTAAGGCTTCACTCTCTGGGAGTATGGAACAAGCAAGGCCCCACAACGAAGCACACTCGGATCTTAACGGAGGCGTTCAACAGAATACTCTTGTTAAGGATGGGTTGTGACCGAATGGGCACAAAATTAATATATGAGAAGACATATAGAATATCAATGAATGATAATTCAGAAGGACGAGCCGACATAGATATCTATGTCGATGGTGCCAAAACAGATAGTGTTTCAAGAGCCGGCATCTACTCCGAACAACTGAACGCACAAATCAGTGTACCTCTCGGCACCCACACGTCTGCCTTACAAACAGAACTGATGTGAATAATGCTGGGAGCTAGAATCATTGCTGAACGTGAAATCGGCAACAAATCAATACGCATACTTACTGACAGCAAGTCTGCACTACTAGCCCTGGACAGCTGTGTGGTTCGATCCGGGCTGGTTTGGGAGTGCAGACAAACGCTAAAGTATGTAATGCAGAGGAATAGTGTGGAACTTTGTTGGATCAAAGGACACAGTGGCAACGAAGGAAACGAGAGGGCAGATGAGATGGCGAAGCGAGTCGCGCGCATGCCCTTCTGGGGACCCGAACCGGCAATCACGCCTTCGGTCGCCCTCTCGAACGAACTCGTAAAGCAATAAAACCCAGAGACGCCATGAGCAGATATGGGTGAAGTTGAGCAGCTGTCGGCATAGTAGAGCTTGTATGGCGACACCAGACCGTAAGTTGACGAAATTTTATCTCTCACTTTCAAGGGACAAACTGCGTAAATTGGTAGGATTCCTTACGGGACATGACGAGTTTACTAAACATCTGCATACGATAGGGGTGGTAACAGACCCAATTTGTCGTGGATGCAACGAAGAAGAGGAAACAGCTGAGCACATTCTTCGTGAGTGTCCAGTCCTAGCCTCCTACAGGGAATCCATACTAGGGGACATCTGGCCTACTATGGCAAATATCAGGGAGTTTCCACCCTCTGCATTACTCAAGTACATTCAAGCAGTTCGGTGGCTTGACGAGTAGCGGAGCGGGAAAACACCCTGATATGGACTTGGGGAAGGTACAATGGGCCCAAAGGCGAGGTCTAAGTGCCGGCTGGCTACGGTCAGCCCCCATAAATTAAGCATCCAGAATCCAGGACCACTTTGCTTTTGAACCCATTCGGTCAAATGCACAAAACGCGGGGTTTCATTTTTATTGACGATCACAGTTCAAGGCCAAATTTTGAATTTTTCGCGAATTTTGGGTTATCACATCTGTCAACACTAACACGAAGGACCAATTTTGAAAATTGAAAAAGGAACAAAATCTACATCTGTCGTAATTCACCTAATTTTATAGGTAATCAGAACTGGATTTTGAAAGTTGCAAAAGTTTCATTGTATTTGCTCTTATATCTCCTCGGCAATAAATCCGCAGTAGGTATAATAGCTAATGTTGTAGCTTCGGGAATGTGAGTCTTCAGAATCTCTTGCTTTGCCTAAAGGTCCTACTATTAGTATGAATTCAGAAAATAATTTTTAACAATAGCTTTGAAACCTAGATAAGTGGTACTACAAAGCGTTAGTCTTGGCTACATTTGCCTAAATTACTGGATTCCTTCTCTTCCTCGCGTATTTCAAAATTTTCTCCTCATCTAAGTAGATCACTGTTCTGACTTGTTAAGTAAATAAGTATTCCCGTTTCAAATTAAAGATAATGACGCACTCTTGCGTATAACTTGTCAATAATTTTAATAAGAGGGCATAACAGGCACTAGCCTCTGCCCGAACGCATTTCTAATAATAATAATAATAATAAATATAAATCCAAACTAAAGCATACTGTTTAGACTACTATGCAATTACTGTTTTGTTCTGTCGCCCACTAGCAACTGTTGAAATACATTAAGACAAACTTGGGTTTGATTACAAAAAAAAATTGCTCTAAAGAGTTTAGACAGTACTTCCCTCGCTGTCGGAAACGTGACGACGGCATGCGTATTGTTTTTTTTTTCTCATTACATTTTTGTAGTGGAGCATTTAAAAAAAAAATGCGATGACGTCATCAACATTTTTGCAAGGACACGTATATCAGTTTGGATAGATGTAGTGTAATACTAAAAAAAATAGGACTAGGCGGTTGAAATGTATGCGCTGCGTATGGACCACGGCAGACCAGTAGCTTGCAACCGATATTACGCATCGCGAAGAAAATTATGAGAAAACTAATTGAACGTCAGTTGATGATTTTAAAATCCATATCCACAACATAATAATAACCATATTTTTAATAATTTTCAAGTGTCGGTCTCGCTGAAAATAAAATTATTTCTGTAAATTATTAAAAATGATGCACAATTGGTAAGCGAAAAGCGAGGAAGACAAGCATGCACCGGCCGCACTTCAGACGGGTAGATAGGATGAATAAATTTCGACCGCCCAGCTTTATTTATAAACAACGACGTCGTAAACACTTAGCAATTTGACGTTTATGGGCTGTTGAATGCGCCAAGGTCCTCAAAAATGGTTATGAGTGCAAAAAATTTATTTATACCACATTATCAACGGGAATACATTACATCGGAAGAATGTCACGTAGACATTTGTTTGATTTGAATCAGTTTATCGCCCCAAAACAGATGACTAAAATTATTCATAAGCCTCCATTGAACAAAATATTCTGAATTTTATTATTATAATTCTTACCTTATTTTATTGTTATAAAGACGAGCGTATTCTCACATTTTCCAGAAAATGGGGTAGCTCGTTCTTAATCTGATCAATAATAAATTGACTGATTCATTAATTCTTTGATTCACCTGTTTAAGCAAATCTAAAAAATATAAATGCACTGATTAAAAGTCTGTTCATATTTTTGAGATGCCGTAGTCAATTTTTTGGGGTTGATAAACAGATATATTTTCATTAAAAAGTTACCATGCTTACAATAACTTCAAAACGTCAAGCTTTCAAAGTAAGTACAGTTTTGCAATTCTTGACTTAATGAATAAAATAAATTGACTGAGTCATAAGCAAATCTAAAAAAGATTTATGCAGTGATAAATCCCAATTATAGACTCATCATACTTTGTACAATGCACATTTAAGATAGCACTTTTTCGGAAAAATTTTGGGGTGGCATGATCAATTTTTTAGGGGGGATGAGAAAATATATTTTGATCAAAAATTTACCATGCCTATGATCACTGTAAAACATCTCCAAGATTTCAATGCATTTGGTTTGTAGTTCCTGATTAAATCAATAAAATAAATTTACCTACGCATTCATTAATTTTTTTGAGTCACCCAGTATATGCAAATCCAAAAATACGAATGCAATGATAAATTATAAGTACAGACTCATCATATTTTCTACATTTTAGAAAGGATTTATGCGGCAAACTTTTTAGGTGACGTCATCAATTTTTTGGAGGGGACAAGTAAATAGATTTTGAATAAAAACTTATCATGCTTATCATAACTGTAAACCATCTGCAAATTTGGTTTTGCAGATTCCAAATTAAATGTCAAAATGTCGTTTCCTAATTTTGATTTTTTTTCCAAAAATCTGGACGTTTCGGGTAAAATCTCAATTCGGAGTCATACACTATCATGTGTAAGACTATATGTTATTTGATATTTAAAACCCATTTACTACGTACAGTTTTGAAGTGACGTCATCACATTAGTGGTGGGGATCAGTAAACCATTTGCATGATATACCTAATATAAATCAAAATTTGACAACAATCGGCCCAGTACTTTCGGAGATTATCTGTCTAATTATAACTTCGTAATTTTTGATTATGAAACAGATATGTAAAATCAGTTAAAGTTAACTTTTATATACATATATTAAACTGCACTTGAAATGTTTTCCAAAATGTTCGTTATGCAACGTTAGTTTTGTTATCACTGTTATCCAACAATAACTTAAAACATAGTTAAATAGCTTAACCATTTCTACTTAATAATTTAATAAATTGTCTTGAACGCGTATACATAACTATTGTTATCCACATCTTTGTTATATCTTGTTTGTTTTCATCTTACTCTAATCCTCTGTTCATAGAGAAATGTCTACACTAAATTATCAGAAGTGTTGAAACAGCGAATGAAGATGGAAGTCAAACAAGTGTTAGCATTTTTCGCTGTAATGGTATTTTTAATGCGACCCGCTGAAAATGCTCGCATTTTAGCCATCATGCCCACACCCTCTTACAGTCATCAAATTGTTTTTAATCCACTTTGGTTGGCATTAAACTCAAGAGGCCATCACGTTACTCTTTTTACCACGGATCCTATAAAACAATCGAATCTTTCAAATTTCAGGCAAGTAGATTGGAGTTTTACTTATGAACTGTGGCATAATAAACACAACGCTAGTGATATTATAAAAAACTTTAAAAGCAACTTCCTAAAATGCCTAAATCAGTATGTAGAAATGATGAGCGACATATTTATTCAAGAATTAGAACACCCACAAGTGCAAGAAATTATGAATGACACAAACGAACATTTTGATTTAGTGATAGCGGAATTTTTGAACCCAGTGATGATTGCGTTTAGTAGAATATTTAAGTGTCCGTTTATTGGTGTATCTCCAATGGATGTTACAAATTTTGTTCATGAAGCTCTAAACAATCCGATTTCGCCAGCTTTATTTCCCGATTTTTTAACGGAATTTGACAATGAAATGACTTTTTTTGAGCGAATTATTAACACTTTTTACTATTTGGGAAATAAACTGTACTTTAAATACTACTTTTATCCGAAAATGGATAATATTATAAGAAAATTCTTTGGAGAAAATACACCTTCTTTAGAGGAAATGCAGCGTGATGTAAGCATGGTTTTTATTAATACTAACCCAATACTACACAACATACGTCCTTTAATGAGCAACGTTTTGATGCTAGGTGGTGGGACACATATCGAAAGTAATGTTTCGCTGACAGCAGTTAAGTCTTTTACATATTCATTTGCACAATTGTAGTAATTTTTACATTCTTAGGATGTTCAAAAATTCTTAAACGATGCAAAAACGGGAGCAATATATTTCAGCTTAGGAACTAATGTAAAGAGCAGGGATTTATCAGCTAAAACACAGTTAGTTTTCCTAGAAGCTTTTTCTGAGTTACCATATAAAGTGCTATGGAAGTTTGAAAACAATATTTCAACTGCTTCAAATGTAATGATAAAGGATTGGCTACCTCAGCAGCAAATTTTAGGTAGCTCTGATAGATGAAATTGAATGTTTCATATCTGATCATTGTTTTTAGGGCACCCGAATATGAAACTATTTATTACTCAAGGAGGTCTTCAGTCACTGGAAGAGGCAATTTACAATGCTGTACCTATTATCGCCATGCCAGTATTTGTAGATCAGTACTCTAACATAAGAAAAGTAATACGTAATGGTATGGGGCTAAAACTTGATTATGACAATGTAGAAAAAAGTGTACTAAAGAACGCCATCCATGAAGTTATTTCTAACCCAAGGTTGGTAAATTACTAGTACATGCTTGTATTTGCTCAAAGTATGACTTTTAGGTACAAAACGGCCGCAATTAAGTTATCTGCCGTGTTGAAAGAGCAGCCTATATCTGGAATAACTGAAGCAGTTTGGTGGACGGAATACGTTTTGAAATATAATGGAGCAAAATTCTTAAAACACTCCGAAATTCCTTTATATCAGTATTTAATGCTGGATCTGTTGGCTTTCTTTTTCCTAACAACAATTTTACTTACCTTTCTATCTTATAAGTTCATCAAATATGTCACTTTACTTATAAAAAGAAAACGTATAGGAGGTAAAGTAATTAAATTAGAATAAATCAGTTGCAGGTGTTTTGTAAATAATATTCGTTATAACAATAAAAAGCTTACACTGTAATAAATGCAAATGTACAAAAAAAGGAGGTACAACTTAAAATAAATAATTATAGAAAATAAATATCAACAAATATCGTTCAGTCATGCAAGTTATTCGAAAGTCATGAGATTACTAGGAAGAGGAGCTTGTTCTCCGTTTGCTGCCTGTTTCAGAAACCGATACCATTTTTCGGCCAGGCTTTTTGTGCCTGCTCTGTACTTATAAATATTCCCTCGGTGATGGTCGATAATTTGAAAACAGTCTTGTTGAACACTGTTATCGTCGAGTATTATTTGACAACCCGCCAAAGGCACCAACTTGCATGGTTCTCGTTTGAAGTCGGATCGTTGATGACTATAAAAATTACAGTAAAACATCAAAATATTCCCTTTTCATTAACAACTTAGTTACCCTTTAAAAGATTTTGGTGAAAAATATACTAGTGATGTGGTCCAAATTTGAAGCCAATAGCGCTGCCAGGAGGTCACTGTTGGTTTACGGCCATCTTTTAACAGAGTCTTTCTGCGAACACAACCTTGCATTGTGCAGATCTGATCGTCTGTAGTCAGAGAATCTTCTGCCAACCTGTTGGTAAAATATGAATTTCATATGAGTGACGACAATTTTGTTCTTACAGTTTAGATCAATTGCAATATTCAGAAACATTGATAAAAACTCACACGTTCATTGAATGCTTTAAGCACTCATCTTACTTATATACTATATATACGCAAAAGGTCACGGAACGGTCAATTATCTTCTTTATTTAAAAAGCGATTTTTGAAATTTGGTCTGTATATAATATGTATAGTTAGAATAACTAAATTTACTGATTTTTTTTTTTGGACTTTCGATTTAGCCGCAAATGTACAAATTTCCCTAAGTGTAAGCTAAGGTGGTATTGTAATCGAGTCCGTCGGGCAACTGTCCACTTTTATGTGTTCTCGACGTTGTATGACGAAAAAATAGATCTCCCGTTTCCGTCTGTCTGTCTGCCGCCTGTCCAAATTTTTATTTGATACATAACCTCCGAAAATTTTATATGTATGTATATTATTAGGAATGTCGTGTAGGTGGTAAAACGCTAACCAAAATTTACCTAGTCATCCCTAGTATCAATGTGATGACATCGCCTCAAAGTTTTTCATACAAAGTAACATTTAAATTTTATGAAATAACATACTCCTGTACTGTAATTAATTAATCCTCTCTATGTTGAAGAGATAAAATCAATAAAATTTCTGTTTCTTTTAAGACAAATGCATACTTTGATGCCGGTGCTGATACGATATGAACGTGCTGAAGGTCGAATTCTTTCGAAGTATAAACATAAACAGTCGAAGTTAAGCAAAATATGTACGGAGAAATTGAGAATACATTTTTTCTTGTTGATTGTCTACTTCAAATATATATTATACGCACTTCGGACCGCGCGGGGTGTTATTTGCGTCACTGGAGGCCTAATCACCCCCACCAACAATGGGATGACGTCATTTCCAGAGTTTACAATAGTAAGTATTATTCAAATTTTCCCTTGTGGTTTATGCTCATATAAAAAACAAAACAAAATTGAATAAGATTTTACAAACCAAAGCTCTGAAATTTTGCAGACGTCTTAAAGTTATCATTAGCATGGTAAATTTTTAATCAAATTTTGTTTTTTTATTCCCTTTAAAATATTAACGAGGTCTTCAAAAAATTTTGCCGAATACATCCTATTTAAAATGTGCAAAATATGATGAGTCTACAGTCGTGATTTATCATTGCATTCAAATTTTTTCGAAACTACTTAGAGAGGATGACTCAAAAAAATTAAAGAATGAGCCAGTTTATTTTATTAATCAAACCACGAACAGAAAATTGAATACGTTATCTGAAAATTTTGACAAATAATAATATCCAAAGTGTGGAAGATATGATTAGTCTATATATATTAGTATATACAATATGACCTCTATAATCCGAACCCACGATTATCCAAACATCCAGTAACAGAGGCTAGTTGAAGTCGATGTCTCTTTAATCCGAACAAAAACTCTGTAATCCGAACTGAACTTGAAAACATGCACCTACTTCTAAAAATGACGCAAGATCTTTCTGGACGTGTTGTATTGAATTTTTTGAAATTTTTAAAAATTGCGTTATTTCAATGGACGATTCTGGAAAAACAGTTTAAGTTATCGAAGAAATGAAGCCAGAAGTGACTTCTGCGGCCCACAATCTACAAGAAAATATATTTAGTTAAATTTCGAAAACAGTTGAGAATGGGTCGAAGTTTGCATAAGGAGGTACAAATATACAGCCTGTTATTGAAAGGTACGTACAAAATAAAATCGGCAATTGGTCTCGAAGTATGGGTGCTAAAAGTTAAAAAAAGTTCAGGTAAAAGTGTTCTCCTTTTAGAGATAAAAATTATTAAAATTTATGTCCAAAATCGTTGTACGCCTCTGATTAAAAGATCATCTTTCGTTTCTATAGCAACATTTAGTCTTGACAAAAGTTTTATTGTTACAGTTGCTAGGATTTACTAAAATAAATTAATTTTACCTATTTATCTTTCAGTAGCGTCTAAAAAGGTTGGATAAGGGTTAATTTTCCCCTTATAATTTTGATAACACAAAATAAGTTTTTCAGACTTCTTAGACTTCGCGAAGAACTGTCCATTTTGTTGTACGTACCTTTCAATAACACCCTGTATAATGGAAAATTTCATTTTTGAAAAAGTCGTCTAAAAATTCTGAAAAAATTCGGGAATATAAATCCGGACGTGTTGATTCCAAAAATATAGCGTGTTATCACGAAATAATATGTTTTTCGAATGTATCAATTATCTATTGTTGCTTAAGAATACTTTATTTCTGTTCAATAAAATTGAGGTTTATTTCTTGAAGTTTGTTTTCAGATTTTTGGGAAATTCGCTGATCCGAACAAATCGCTAATCGGAACACACCTTTTCCCCAATTAATTCGGATTATCGAGGTCAAACTGTACTTGTGATTTATCAGTGCATTCATATTTTTTTGAATTGCTTATACAGTCTGAGTCAACAAAAGTGAGTCAATTTAGTTTATTAATTAAAGCAGGAACGAGTCACCGCACTTTCCTGCAAATACAATACTGTTATTATATTAATATTACACTGCACCTACCCAAACTGATATACGTGTCCTTGCAAAATGCTTATGACGTCATCTCACAAAATTTTGTAAACGAAAAACTTGTTTGAAACTTACACGTAGGATATTCTTTTCTAATTCTTTAATATTATATACAAATTATAAAATCTGATTTTGCGATCAAAGGGAGGTTCTGTCGAAATAACCTTCGACTCCTTTTTTCATTTTTGAATGCAGATTAAAAAAGAAATTATCTGATATCACGGGTCGTGTTCGGAGAATTTTAATAGAAAAAATAAATTATTCCATTAACATAAAATCAATACACGTTTACATGTTGTGATCATCACGAGTGAATCAGAATAAACCGAGATTCTGATAATGTGCGGGTATATAAAAAATATCCCGACATTGGTACGTCTTACGATATGTATAACAACTTTGCGATATGAAGCAATATTAAAATTTATAGTAAGGATTTATCGAGAACATGACACTGAATCACTTACCGCGGAAGAAATTAAAGTTAAGTCCGTTCACATCATTTTTAAACCGGAGGTGAATATGAAAAATTTTAAGTTTTTGTATAGAATAGTATTTTCGGTTTTCTCACAACGGTACGGTAAATAAACACAGAGACAAGCTCCATTGGAGACAAGTTTTTTAAAAGCGCTCCCCAAAAATTAATGATTGGGCTGGTATTGTTGGTAATTGAATAATTGGGCCATTTATTAGAGAATTAAATTATTCAGACTATTGTGACTATGTTTTCATAACAATTAATTCTCTAACGCCAGCTCAAGACATCTGGTTCCAACAAGATGGAGATCCGCGGCAATTTAGGTTACATGCCTGCAACTATTTCGATGAGATATTTTCGGCAATATGGAATGGTCCACGAGGGATCATTGTTACTCCTTAGCCCGACTTATTATTATCATAGCTCCATTTTTTATGCAGGGGTAGTGGAAAACTAAGAGATGCGCTAAATTATTCTACAAGTTCTGCGACATTTTAATGTTTTAATCGTTATCAATCTGCCAATGGAGGGAATTTTGAACCTAAATTAAAATTATCACTGTGTTTAAATATATCGTGACTTTGTATTAATTATTATTATTATTTTAAATTTTTATGGCACTTAAATCCTTGAAAAATGACAAAACATACAACTTTCTTATTTGATACAACCCCTGTAAGTCTTTTATTCTTGAAGATAGGTCCTGTCCTTTGTTCTTTGGACAAATTTGTATTGTACAAGAAGGTCTATTTGATGGTAAATGAAATAACTTTATAATTTTAAATGGAACACAAGTATATTTTTAACCACAACAAATCAAAAGCAGCCAATATTTCAAAATTAATAACAAACAAGTTATTCAGTAAAATTGATGAAAAATTAATATTTTTTTTGTTTTCATTGGCACAGCTTCATTACATTTAATTAATTTTTTTTTTTTGGTCGACAAAAACGATCATTAATTAAAACACAGACCACTTCAACACGATAATTTAACTTTTGAATATTCCAAATGTTTTTTTTATGTAAACGTTGTTTAAAACAACAGAACAGACTAAGAATTAAATTTAATACAACAAGAATACAAGTATTGGATTTAGTGTTGTGCAAAGCGCTCTGACGCGATGTTTCAAGACATCTTTGTCTCTCCATTCATCAGTAAACATTATCTTTTTTGAAATCCCAAAGGAAATAATCAATGGAGGTTCAAATCAGGCGATCTTGGAGGCCATCTTATTTTCCCATCCAACATTTCAGTTATAAAAAAAATACATCCACGTTTCTCACGTTGTGAGGTATGCTTCATCCTGGCGAAAATACGAGTTTTGGACGTCATTCAAAGGTCATTTATCTAAATAATCTTTTTTCATTTGCCGCAGAATACGTAAATATTATTCGTCATTGAGGTTAGTATCAAAACATGGTCCAATTATGGTATTACTTACTATGCCAACCCATATGTTAAACTTCCAATCTCTTTGGTTTCCCCTTGGTTTGAACAATTGCAAATTTTCAGTAGACCAGTAGTGAGTATTGTGTCCATTGAAAATGTTTTTATTAGAGAACGAAGGTTCGTCGCTCCAAATTGTTTTCAAAAAATAATTGTACTTCTTGGCTTATTAGTAGCCACTCTGCAAATTCTTGACGTCTGGTAAAATCACCTACTTCAAGATGTAGATGCTTTCCATATTTAAACGGATGCCGACCATTTTTCTTCAAAATACGTTTAATACTGCACCAAATACCAAAATTTGGTGATCTTCAATGATAAATGCGAATCTTCTCTTTTCAGTTTAAACTGACCCCTATTTTTCAAATTATCAATAATTTGTTTCAAATATCTCCGATACAAATTTTCTTGTACGGGTATAACTCACTGAACTTCTGGTAAATGCGGTTCAAGCTCTCGTTGTATTTAACATACAACACGAACATACGAAAATAAACTCCGTTATTGAGATTTTCGAGAACTTCACAATATTATTGTTTTGACGCATTATAGTTCCAAAAATACGAACAATCTTTTTTCTTGCAAATATTGAATTGACCGATCAAACGCTTATTTTTCAAGCAACGAGATTTGAATTCAAAAGATAGATTTTGACTTATTTTATTAAATAACTATTAATTATTGATTTTAGAATAATGGTTCTTTTTGATTATTATTTTCTAGTAAAAAAAGCAACATTTCTATTTACAAAAAATATACTGAGATTTAAAACAACGAAGTTGGTGTCATTTCCGGTTCACCTTTAAAAATAAAAAAGACACCCTGTAAAAAGTATTTAATGTAGAAAAATTAACTTGATCATATTTCCGGCTAAACCGGAAGCATAAAAAGATTGAAACTGTCACCAGTAATGTTTTCCATTGCAATGTACACACAGGAAAAATAAAATAATCGCTTTTCAAATAACGAAGCTAATCTAACATTCACACAAAGTCAATGTGTATGGATTTGTCCAGGATAAAAATAACTGGACCCTTCTTTTTTAGGACAACCCGCTTGGAAATAATTCAGTTATCCGATGTTTTTAGGAACGATTTAGTCCTATAATTTTGGTAATATATATTTTCGAAAGACAAAGATCCACTAAAAAATCTTGTCACGTCATCAACTAAAAAACTTTGAAGTTCCAGAATATTATTTCCACACTTTACGAACACAATATAATAATTTAGAGATATAATTCAACGACGAACAAGTAAAACATTTTACGCTAATCCATGATCACAGAACACCAACACCGCATATTAATGATCTAAATACGACTTTTAATAATAAAACACACCTCGTAAGCAGCGTTGAGTTTTCTGCCGTACTTTGTGATGCTTGTAGTGGTAGATCAGTTGAAGGTGATGATAATTCGACGTGAGGGGAACGAAAATTTCGGGATTCTTCTAATTCGGAATCATCTAACAAATGCAAAGTCTTCGGTAGTTCTTTGGGATCAAAATTGCCAACCTGATGAGGTTTACCAAAAATGCTGTAGGCACATGTTAAATTGATTAATTGATTATTAATTCATTAATTTTTTTTTCTATTATCTACATTTTTGGGATACTATCGTAATTAACAAATACAGATTACATTTTGGTGTTACTCATTAAATATTTCAGTGCTCACACACATCGACATTCTTTACCAAACACCACGTGAAATTACTACGGATTTTTACAATGAGAATAACAATAAATACTAAGCAAATCTTCCCACGATTACATATATTGTTTTGTCCAACAAAGCAATATTCCACATTCTTCCGACCAAAGCACCCGAGCGACCAATCATTTAATTCTTCCACATGCAATACCTACTTGTTTTTCAAGCAAGGCTCTTACATTACAAGCACTTACCCCCAGGGTAGTACCACAGAGGGGTACCCTGCTTTGTGGAAATTACGGGGGAGACTTGTACTACGAAATCTAGAGAAAGTACGTTTTTGTATCGTTAAATTTGTCAAACTGGATGTTTGTTGTAGTACTGGGTAAAGGATATTAGGAGCACAAAACCCAAAACCGTGTGTCAAAAAATGACTGGCGAACTCAAAACTCACTTTGTTCCTAGGCTCCGACACTTCCGATGTCCTGGTATGAATTTACTCCCTGAAGTGACGGCGTGTAGTCGCAAAGATCCGCTAGAAGCTTTAGCTGGAGAAAGATTCAAAGAAGCAATGGCTGCAGCATCAGCGACTACAGACTCTTTGGAACTACAACTTGATGAGCTTGGAGCAGGTGATGGTGGCTCCAATCTGAGTGAAAGTCTAAAAACAAATCAACTAGCACAGAGAACTTTTAGAATTTTAAGATTTACTTGTATTGATCATCTTCGACAAATTTTTGTAATTCTTCAATATATCTAATAGAATTTAAATAATCTTGAATATGAGGAATAACACACAGATTTGAGTAATCCGAGTGCTGATAATTGGATATCACACGTAAAATATTGTTCATTTTTAATGTTCTTTGTTGAGATTCTAAGCCACCAGAGTGAGGATGAGCCATGTCAATGTAAACAAGATCAGTCAAATAAAGACCTGCAACAAGTGGTTCATTAAACGTGAATTAATCCTAAGGAATAAGTTTACCCAAATATGGTATACATGGAAGCTTCAAGCTTTCAATGTGACGCCTGAGATTCGACCAGTTGTCTGCATCAGAAAATACTTCAGCCAACTTGTCGAAAGTCTGTTTATCTTTTTTAGATAAACAAGTCCACGTCTTCGACAACCTAAAAGTAAACACATCTTTTACTACTTCCGCTAATCTCGAGATAACGCGCAAACCTATAAATGGAGGCACTTTGTAAGGCTGAAATTATTGCAAACAGCGAGTGAAAATTATTCAATTCGTATAACTTTTTTGCTATTCTAATAAAGTACGACAATATTTCCGCTCTTTGTTTTGGAGTCGTTCCACTCAGCACTTCTTGCACAGACCAGAAGCTCACCTGGTTTACGAAATAAAAAAAAATGCTCATTAAACTGCTGTATCATAATAAGATTTAAATGAGTAGCAGGTGCTATGCACTTACATGATTAAACCGTCTCGTGAAAGCCACAACGTTAGGCGCCACGGTCAACTTGTTTTTCTTATTCCATGCGCAGCTGGTCAATTCATCTGGTTGGATGTTGAGGAAAACAGGCAAATCAAGCAACGTCAACTGACTGGCAAAATCTTCCGGTGAAATCCTGAGTATGTCGAAAATAGCACAGCTGTAGTTTTTGGTTCTGGCTTGCGACGAGGCATTGTTGGGCAAACTTTGAGTTTTGATATGGGCAGGTACAGATGCAAGGGAACTGAAATCGTCCATTAGTCAGACGATTTCTTTGTAATGAACATATATTAACTTTTTAATTTTTTTTTATTCCAAAATTCAGAAAAATTTGACACACACCGACAATGTAAAAAGGGAAGACAATCATTTTTTACTGTTACCAAAAACGTTTGATCTAAAATCATTTAGATTGAATTTCCCCCATCCGTAGAGGGCAATCCAAACAAATGCAGTTTTTTATACAAAGTATAAAATTTGTTTATTGTTTTACCCTATAAGTGGATTTTCTGTTGGGTAAATAAATCATTATTATTATTATTAAATTTGGTTCTGCATTTTTTTTTTGTTTAGATATATTAAATTAAAAATAGTAGTAAATTATTAAATTACGGGTACTCCTATGCTATGTTGTCATACTTCAAGTACAATTTTGTGGTGACGTCATAAAATTTTCAGGGGGGGGGGCAAATATATCAATCTTGATAATAATATGTCAAGTGTAATTAGTAATAACAACAGTACCTGCTCTGCATATAGAATTTCAGGAAAACTAAGTAAACCATTTTAATTTAATAAACAATTCTAATTCCTCTAGAGACATCTTTGCCTCCCCTAGACCTAGACAAGTTATAATTAACCAATGTGAACAGCGGAAGTCGAAGCAATAAAAAAGTCTGAACAATTTGATCTGGTTATTGCAATTCGTAGGAAATGTCGTTTAGTTTTTCTGTTTCATTCTCACGTGTACAGTCTCGACAAGCGATATCGATATTTGTCTTAAATTACGAGTACTTATAAATGCTTTTCAGTTCAGTCCCACCTCTGCTACTACACATATAGCAGGCGTGATCAATTTGGTGCCTTATTTTATTGATTCAATCAAGATTAAAAACGATTCACTCCATTTTTTTGAAAATTTGGGAATACAGTACTTTTATTATTATTACTTGCAAAAATGTTGATGACGTCATCACAAAGTTTTGTAATGAAAAAACCCACTTGAAACAAACGCTTCTTTACCTTTACTTGAACATTACATAAAAATAAAATTCGCAAAATTAAATTTTTCAGTTTTTCGAAACAGCTGGATTTTATGGGTGAGGGACGTTCTCTCGAAATAATCTTCGACCAATTTTTTTTTTACAGTGTACGTATAAGAACCTGTCACACTAAACATTTCAGTCGATATGTAATTAACAAACTTTTGAGACGACGTCATCAAGTTCTTGAAGAGAATTCTGTTTAATAGTTTATTAGGTTTGGAAAAAATAATAACCTTAGGTAAAATTTCATAAGCATAAAAGAAGGTAAAGTAATAAAGCACAGCTATGAATAGTATAGTATTTTGCATATTAGAAGTAGAATTTACTTAGCAAACTTTTGAAATGACGTTATCAAATTTTTAATGGGGACGATGAGATAAATTTTGGTTGACGTTTTACTACCTACACGAGATTCTTCATTACATTTTATATTTTTACATTTTACGATGTCTGAAGTCGCTTCTACACATTTTTTGAGACTACAGTCGTCTGGGACACCCCAAAATGCCTGTTTAATTTTTTTGTTGATTTTACAGTTTGTTTAGTCTACACGAATGACACTCTGCAAGGAAAAGTAAAGTTCACTTTATTCCACTGTTTTAAAGTAAGCCAATTTTCTTTATGTCATATTGTACTTGGCATGTTTATAATACTCTAAAATATCTAAGTAGAAAAATAATTTTTGTTAAATATGTCTTCAAGCGTAAGCTAACGATGTATCGTTTGTAATCAAGTCGTACGACTCGCTACTTTTATGATTTCTCTCGTTTCCGTGTGTCTGTCTGCCGTCTGTCCGCGTCTGTGTTGATTTTAATTAGATAATCTTCTAATTACCGGATACCAAGCAAATTTTGTAGGTATGTATATTAGGAATATATCGCTATCCAAAATTTGTCTGATCATCCCCACCATATGATGTCATCTCGAACTTTTACAGTAGAAAATGTTATATAAATTTTTTGACATAACATACTCCTCGATTTAGTAGTTTATGAATTCGTGTTGAGTTTTTACCCTATGAATCCAGATTTTTGTAAAAAAAAAAATCAACTAGCGTACTTGCAAATTTTCGCAAAATGATTATTTATTCACAACGGCTTGTGTTTAGATATAGTTATATCTGTATGAAAATATTAAATACCGGGTGATTTTTTAAATTTGCTCTAGTTGGCCATTGCGCTTACGTCAGCCGTTTCAATAACGTACGCATCATGACCAACTAGACCAGAAATTTAAAAACCACACAGTATGATCCGATCAAACCATATACATGATATACCGAGCTGAAATATACTTTCTCAGGTACGTTTTTTTTTTTTGGATGATTTTATTTGGAACAATTATCTAAGCTTCGTCTGTACCTGCCAAAGTTTATTTCGAATATAACTGACAAGTATATAACATGGATAGAAATAACCAAGAAAACATAACGAGTGATAAAAAAAACCCATCAAACTTTCTTGACCACTTCAAAATAACAGTGTCACGCATTTGGGTTTGGCAAGAGCAATACAAGAAAAATTTCTCAAAATTAGTTAATTCTATTGCCAGTTCAAACAATATTTGTTGTTTACGCGTACTAACTAAAGGGTTTTTTGACCGCTCGTTTGTATACACTTGATAATGGAATTTAAAAATAAATATCTTCTGTTGTGGTTACATCCGAGAATTACCACTTCATCCTGGGTTTTTACCATGACATTTCGAATTAAACAATAACAAAACTGCAACAGTAAGGTTTGCGAAGTAAATGCACTTATTTAAAGAAATTTTACAACACCAAGGGTGAGATTCATTAGTCGTCACTTAAGTTTAACTCATCCTCCACTCAAAGTCAACTCACTTGACTTGAAGGTGAGATTGAGTTTGATCAAAATTATTATTGCATTCATAGTTATTCTTTAAATTAAACTCAATGAGCAAAGGAAATAGAAGTCCGACTGCAAATAGAGAGAGAAATTTTAAGGCTAGAAGCCATTAAAACCCAAAAGTTAATGACAGAGCAACAAAAGGTATCTCTTATTACTTATTAGGCAATAACTATTGTTTTTCATAAATTATTTATGTATTTATTGCAACATCTCGTAGGTAAGTTGTAGATTTGATATTGCTGTTCACTGAAAAAACATATGCGCAAAACTAGATATATACGTTGCTGATAAGTGTAAATTTTGAGAGCCAACAATCAACAAATAAATTCCAACACATTGACAGGGCAATAAAAAACACAATCCAAAACAGCCATGGATATTTGACGATTTGTCTTTCATAGAATTTTCGTCTTGTCAGATTAGTGTCAATTTGAAAGTTTGAGTCGAAAATGCAAGGATCGAAGACAAACCTTCAAAAATCCATGGCTGTTTTGTATAAAGTATAACCAACTTTATTTCTATGAGATTATCTACTTATACTATGTGAAATTTGAAATGGAAATGAGGAATATCGTGTAGATTGTAAAATGCTGACAAGAGTTCGTGTTAATTCCACTAACAATTCGAAGTCATCTCAAAATTTTGCATGCTAAATAAATACTATTTAAATTTTATAAAATAACTTATTTCTGTACTTGTGGTGTATGATACGCCATTTCATAATTTTTCGAAAAACACATCAATTTTTAACATTTTTATCAGAATTATTTACTCTTCATGTATGGCTAGTGAGTGACAGATTTCTTGATGAAATTATGTAAAGGCACTCTATTTCTCTCTTAAAATTCTGTTTCAATCTTTTACTACTTAACATTGAATTAAATACATTATTCCATTATGATCTTGTTCGTCCAGAGACTGAACCATATTTTTTTTGAGGAGTTAGCAATTATTTAAACGATTAAATGAATTTTAGGTCACACAGTCACCAGTAGAATGTTATTCTGAAAATGTGTTCTGTGTAAAGTGATCTCTGTTAAAAATTTAAATCTTTTAAATGGAACCCGGGAAATTTACAGTAGTTCGATCCGTTGAACACAATACACCCACCTTCCAATCAATGTGATAAAAATTACAGGCGAAGGTGAGTCTTCACTGTGGTTTTTTAAAGAACAAATAAATATTGATGTATAATGCTTTTATTTCTTAAATGTGGTAGAGTACAGTTTGTGGAATATACAGAACTTAATAACTTTGTTGTAATATGCATTTTCAAATACTTAGTATTAAGTATACATAAACGTCTAGGTATGCACGTGATTTTTAAAATTATCAGTGTCCAATAATTGAAATATTTTTGTTTTGTTTCATTTTTAATTTCCGAACGTAAGCTTGGAAAGTATTGGACATTTGGTGAATGGCTAATTTCCTGTATTCCCGACGTCTGTTATGTAAATTTCATTTTCCCTATCTACTGTTATTTTTGGAACATTTTATCCAGGATGTCTCAAACAAATTAATGAATGTGGCAATTCGTTTTACTGATTAAATCAAAACCGTCTTATCGGATTTTCGTTCGTCCAGTAGCACATTACTGTTAATACTGACATATTTATTCCTACTAAAAAGCTAATGACGTCATCACAAAATTTTAATCAGAAAATCTCGCTTGAAACATCCGGGTAGCATGCTCGTTTACCTATAATTAAATAATCTACGCCTACCTTTGTTTTACCTTATAGAGGTTATTATAAAAAAATACAATTCGCAGGATCATAATTGGACTTGTTAAATTGATTGTACTTCAGGGACGAGTAAAATTCTATCTAAGCAACTTTAGACCAATTTTTACAAGAATGTGTAGTTAGTTAACTTTAACATATGGCTGTTTATTAATATTCGTCATTACTTTGACTTGTTTGTTTATCATTACGACTGATAAACTTTGCTCCTGAGGTTACTGTCTTTTACAAGTTACGACCGATAAATTTTTCTCACTTTTGTGTCATCATCAAAATGAAATATAACAAAGATAAATACATTTTTGTGAAATTAAAGTTCGAGTTGTTAACAAGTCACAAATTAAAGCTGATGTCATCAGATTACCCACTCACGACTTAGATTTTAATTTATTGGTGTGTTCAAATTTTATTATAAATTAATTTTTTGAAATATTACTCTATAAACAATATGATTTTTTATAGTCTTCCGGAAAGTTCTGTGCATATATACATTCAATTAACATTAGCATTAGTAGGGTGTTATTAAGCATAGCAATTGATTTAACACAGCTTCTCGTAGATACAAGAAATTTATGTAGATGTATGTAGACTTAATTACTGGAAGATTATACACATGGTACAAAACCAATAAAAGAAGCAACTGTTTTACCTACTTACCCGTAACTGTAATACGAGAAGGGGGGTCCGGGACCACTGGAGACAGCTGGAGTGGAAATTTTTCTAATTCTTGTAGTTTCCAACGCGAATTTGTCATGGCTGCTGGATGAAGAGATGGAAATTGTATCACGATCGACATCTGACGATTTGTAACTTTCTTGTTTCCTATTCTGAAAACAAATTTAAACAATGAAGAAAAACAAAAGAGTGATTTAACATTCATGAAGTTACCTCTGTTAATTTGAGTGCTGAAAGACTGTCACCTGAAATATCCCTCGGTATTTCAGAGTATCGCATCATTTTCATGTCATGGTTCTTGTGTTCTGCAACATTTCCGAAAAAAATTTTTAAACGCAATGAAATATTAATTGCAGCTTGTAGAAAGCGCGTTGGAATAATCAGAGCGTTGACGTTTGAAACCGTCCTCATTGCAGGAAAGACATCAATTTAATATTGCATAATTTAAATAATCTACAGAAAGCAGGTACCGGTTATGTTCGAAAAAACTAAACTTAGGAGGTTGCACAGAATTAACGTAAAACATTCGGCTGCTTTCGTTACAATAGCTAATAGTGATGCCAATTCTGAAGGCGAATACGGCTCTTCCTGACAATCTATTTTTGATAAGAAGGACTGGCTAATCCAAGGGAATAAAGCTGGTTGTATTTAAAATCCAAAAGTATCAAACGTTGAATTTTCACATCACAACGTAATTGCATGACCTAATAACATATTTACCGTATAACATGAAAAACAGAGTGCAAATTGATTTATGCGAAAATACTGTTAATTGATTGATGAAAAGTGCACGTTGTTCGTGAAAAATGGGATAACACCAGTAGGCTAATATGAAATGGGAAACATTCGAAGAAATTGTAAACAATAAACAACTAAATATCTTATAAATTGTCGTTAATATTTTAACTAAATAACATGAAGAAATTTAACAATTGATACTTGGCATAATCAACTTTTTGGTAAACTTCAGGCCAACTTTTATTGTCAAAATTTTTCAAATATTATGTCACAATCAAGTGTAATTTATTAGGTAGTAATTAAAGTGTTAACAAAAAAAAAAAAATGAACCACAAAATTATGCTACGTACCTTGTCCAATGATAACACAAATTAAAGGACATTATGCACATCATTAAACTCATCAGTCAATAGTAAGAAAGCGTAATGAAGTTACCACGTTTCAATTACAGATTACACTTTTAATTACTCCTATTATTTTTCGTTGTATGTTCATTGCATAGGAAAATATCGACTTAATTATATCAATTTAAGGTTCAGAAAAAACAACACCGAATAGAATTAAAATAGTTAAACTATTCTATTTGAAAAAGAGGGCGATGGAAGTGAATTAATTGCTTTTTTTATTGTTTTGTAACATGTTTATGATCTTCCAATATATTTTCCAAGTATTTTCGCATAAAGCAATCACAGTTTTTCAAACTATGTAGTAAATATGTATGTTATTAGGTCATGCAATTATTTTCTGATGTGAGAATGTAATGTTTTATGTTTTTTGATTTTAAATACAATTATGGTCTATAATGGTTGGTAGTCGATAACGTTTCTACATCATTAAATCGTACTAACGATATGATTAATGTTTTCAGTCGGTTTTTATAAAATTACACTTATTTTTAAGAAATATATATAGGAACATTGGCACTGCAGTCCATTTGTTATAAGAACTCCATAGTCTTGTAAAACCGTAGCAAATAATACTTCCCAAACGTTACTATTTTTGTCTCACTTTCTCTCATTGCGGTTGAGATGGTACGTATTGCCTAGCATTTTAGGGGCGGTCCTAAAGATCTACCGAAACGTTCGTACAAAGCAGTTCTCAAAAAAAAACTGTTTTGTTGAACTTGAAAAGAGATGTTTATAGGAACAGATGATATGTAAATTTAAGTTAGTATTATGTTTAAATTTCAGAATTACTTGTTTTAAAAACGTTTTGCTGACTTTTTTTTTATTTGTTGTACATTATAAATTATTATAAAGCCTGCAATAATACATAACTGTTTGAGAACCTCTGTCAAATTTCGGGTTTCATTCCGACAAGCGGAGCTATGTGTTTTCTTTCTCGCACATCCGCTTAAGTTAAAATGAGATAGCGCTTTGTTGTTCTTATTTCTCACAGCATAACGCAAAGTATAGGTGGTGGAAAAAAGAGAGAATGAGTTTTACGATATCATGGAATAATTAAAACAGATGGACTGTATTTTTGACATACCTACATTTTAAAATTAACATGCACCACTGAACCATTGTGATGTATTTTATGATAGCTGTGATATAAAACTACCATAATTACTTACACAGTGATCATTTAAAACCCTAATGCTATTAGCCGAGGGATGTCGACAGTTGAATTGGGCACGACCGTTTTCACACAGCATAATAAATTATACCTGTTCTTTTCGCTTATGTTAACTGGCGCTTTCACTCTTACTTGAGCCTTCGTGTCGTATAACTATTAATTAATTGTAAAAAAACTTTAATAAACCAGAATAAAATTGTATTTTTTTTTATATTTACTTCCCGAGCTAACCTAAGGAAGTATTAGTAATCGAGTCTATCGGGTGACAGTTTCATGTTTTCTCGTCGCTTCATGATCCCTAGAGTAATCTCCCGTTTCCGTCTATCTGTCTGGCATCTGTGTCGATTTTTATTAGACACGTTATCTCCGACGCCACTGGACCGATTGTTGTCAAATTTTGTATGTATATTAGGAATATAGACGGTTAAACGCTAACCAAACTTTGGCAAATCATCCCCCGCAACAATTCGATAACGTCATCTAAAAGAATTAGATTTTAAAATGATTTAAATATTATGCAACAATATACTCCTACACGTGTGGTGTACGAATCCCCTTTGAGTTTTTTTCCTGAAACGTCCAAATTTTCGCAAAAACCTTTATAAATTGCAATAATATTTTACCACCAACACGGAATATAAGTCGTGGTAGACCTGTTGGTTATTGAGGAGAACGCTAGTCTGCGGTCCTACGTTCGACGCCAAATTTTGCCGTTTCTTCTTTTCTCTTGCACTGGCAATGCGTTGTGACTAGTATTATCTATGTTAATCACAGAATTCTTTATTGATCAAATTAAGAACTCGTCAGCCTATTTTCTCAAAAATAGAGAATACGCCCTCCGATACTTTTAATAATGATAAAATAAGCATTATAAGATTCAGAACATTTTGTTCGATTGTGACTTAATTAATAATTTTAGTCCTCTGTTAGTTGTCTACTTTATTACAAAACAAAAATCGCAAAAACAAATTTTATAATTTTTTAAAGGAGCGAAATGTGTCGGATTATACTTCAAGAGCAGTTGAAGTTCTATCGAAATAACTTTCCACCAATTTTCATTATGAAGATATTAATACATACTTCTTTTAAGTTGACTTTGTATACTCGATCAGTTTATCCCAAAACTTGTCATTTTTATTTTCATTTTGATGTGCTTTTTGTCAAATTTTAAAATTTTTAACTTGTTATTAAGTGATAAAAATACAGACAATATAAATCTTGAGAATATAACTGTAATGGTTGTGCATGTACAAAAAATTAGCAATAATTTCCGAATAAGTATTGTTGTAATTATTCTATCCATCAAAGTGCGCTCATAATTTTAAATGATTTAATTGGGCCTCAGCAAGTCATACTTCTATTGGTAATTGATAGTTCCACAGAAGTAATAGGGTTTTAGTGCGATAATTAAAATCCTTGTAAAACTTACTTGTACTCTTTGTTAGTGCACTGTCTTTTGCAGCTACTTATCAACACGCCCCCGTACATGATACAGTTTTTAATAGCTAACAATTATGGGCCTACTGTTTCCTAGGTTGTGAGAACCTGAATAGATGACGATGCTGATTTAAGTAATTGAATTAACGTCCATGCATCTGTAAATAATCAATTAAACAGCAAAACCTTCAGGGTAATTTAAAAATGATTACTGCCGTTTGACCTTACAGGTTATTGTGTTATTGTGTCGTGTTCATAAGTTAATGTATCCAACAAAACCTTCGTTAAAAATTAGGACACTAGCAATCATTGCAGTCGTTAAATTTGTTACAGAAAGCCATAAATGCATGAGATCGATGAAAATGAGCGGAATTCAAACAGAGATGATATAACAGTTTTGTCGCGTTACATTCAAAACTAGTTTATAATTTTTTGTCAACTTTTTTTTAAGTATGAGCAAATAGTCAGGTTTGTCCATAAAGAGATAACAAAAAGACGACAAATCATTACCGTCCCTTGAGATGGATTCAGTGAATCAAAAAGTAATGGGCAAAAAATGATCACATTCACATGTGTAAAGTAGCAGCTCATATGGTTAAGAGTTTGCACCACTTAATTTAAGAAATGAGTTGCATACAATTTTATTTTGGTGCAGAAATATGAAAAAGGTAAAGGATAATTCGGCCATTACATTTTTACAACATACCTCAACCATGTGACAGTTATATCGATTCTTTGCTAGGAACTGTCTGAACGACTGCGGTACATTTTATATCCCAAGAAACGAATCTAAAAGTGGTGGATTTTCTGCAACTGTTGCCGTATATTAAACACGTCTGCTTTTGTTTGAACCTTTAAATAGTCTATTCCGACCGGCAAGCAGTCGCCAATCCGAATCATTTATTTTAAGTTTTAAAGTGTTATTACCCCATTTTGTTCGCAAGATGTTAATACTAGTTATACATAAATTGCAAAACGTTTTTCCTATAAAATTAAATTGTTGTAATGAGTGAACACTACACGGTCTAATAATTTTAAGTAAACGTGAGTATCCAGAAAACATACTCAAAACCGTAGTTGAAACTCGTTAATAAAAAAGAAATGTTAATTAGTAAAACAACGGCAGCCTGTTGTAAAACATCATTAAAGAGGAAGTTTACTTACATTTTAACACGTGTTGCAAAAAATGACTAATAAAGAAGTTTATCGAACCAATGCGATCAAGTGGGAGCCTTATGACATGACTAATCTTTATTACTTCTAGTCTAGTGATCACTTGGTACAGAAGCAATATTGTTCTCAATCATGTTCTCTATTAAGACAAACTTTCAGTAAAACTTTGCAACACCTGCAAGGAATAGTTTCCAATGTTATGTGACTTGTTTGCCAAACAAGACAAAGTTTGTGGTGACATTAAATTAAAATATTCAGTATCTAATCTTAGTGTACAGTGAAATGATTGCTTTCTAAGAAATAGATAAAAAGATGCTAACCAAAATGTTAATACATACATACAAACATTAAAATATATTTTATATATTTTTTCTATAAAAAAGATAAATATTCATCTAATTTGCGTTCGATGGCCATGGCCATATCTTTAAAACCACAAGACTGCCATGAGGCAATAATTACTCTAAATTACTACTACATTTGTGGTTAAAATTATCAACAGAAGTAATGTGTTTGATAGGCATACCTAGAGTGGATTCAGTTTGTTGAAAACAGTTTTCATTTTAATTAAAGACACTCCAGCATCGGTTACATTGATTGACAAAATCCATTAGAAAATTGCTCCTGTTAAAGAAAAGACTTTGGGTGACTTTAATTCCCGAGTGAGAGATAGTATTGTAATCCCATTTTGACAAATTTCTAATTAGTGGTTTCTCGATGTTTTACAGCTTGAACAATACGAAAATATTGACTTGTTTTCGTCTGTTTGTTGCATGTCGCCTATTGGTGTTAATTTATTAACCACTCAACTTATTCCTGTGAAATTTTAGAAATTTTGTAAATGATAGACAAATGTTCACTCCCACCAAAAATTTTGTAATGCCACTTAAAAATTTTGCTTAATAAATATCGCTCGCAACATGCTCTTTTATCTGAGATTGAGCGATATCCTTATGTTTACATAAATCTTAAAAAAATTGTGTCAGAACAGGTCTGTCAAATTAATATAAAGTGTGTTTAGTTGTACCATCGTAGTTCTTTCCTTGCCCCTGAAGTACAGTACACAAATCCTGCTTTTTGTAAAATGAATTGAATTTGAAAAATTTAATTTTTTTTGTGAAGAAAAAACAATACAGATAATTAATCACAATGCAAACAAAAAAAAAGGCCTACGTTAGCATCGAACGCGCGACTGTTTTCACGTTGTAAGCCCTAGAGCGGAGAGCCTAACGCCTGCGTCACGGAACTGAGAAAATTTGGATGTTTAGCAAAAAACTCAAAGCGGATTTCATACACCACAAGTGTAGGAGTATATACTTAAAACGACAGATGGACGGAAACCAGAGACCAATTTTTTGTTCTCTATACTCTAGGGGTTATCAAATGTCAGTCGTCCTATATACTCTATTATAATACTTCTTTAGGATATGCGCGTGAAATAAAAATTGATGTTTCTTATTGGTCGCACAGCTACAATTAAGTTTGATCTTCCTAGATAAACCGTAAACTTTTGTTTTGTAAAAGCTCTAACGTTAAACATAAAGTACAGGTAAAGAAGCATGCTCTATAGCTTGATGTGAAATTTTCTTAACACAATTTCATGACGACGTGATCAACTTTTAGTGAGACTAATTTACAGGGTGAATTATTAAGCGCGCGCTCCTCGACATCTAATTAAATACAGAAGACAGAAAAAGAAATCTGACACAAAAGGTGTACGGTTCTTTGAGTAAATTTTTCCCCCTGTACAGACTATTTTCTTCCTATTCTTAGTAACCATACTTTTAAAAATCCGAAGCCAAGTTGCCAGGTTATTCCAATTTACCAGAATTTTTACTTCACAACCGTAAGAGCAGGAAGTATTGTAACCGAGTCTGTCTGTCTGTCGTCTGTAAATTGTCTAACATTTTGCAATTTAATTTTAAATCTGCACAGCTGAATACTTTAAAAATGTTGCATCGTTTTAAAGTTAACGTAAACATAGCAACTTTTTAATCAAAATATATCTGTTTATCCCACCCTCAAAAAAAATGATGACGTCACCTCAAAATTTTGCTGAATAAATCCTGTATAAAATGCCCAAGCTATGACGAGTTTATACGTGTGATTGGTCATTGCATTCATATGTTTAAGAAACATATGAATGCAGTGACCCAAAAAAAGAATGAGTTAATTTATGTTATTGATTAAATCAGAAAGAAAATTTGGTAGTACAATACTGTTATTATTAGTATTACATTGGGTCTATCCAAATTGCTATACCTGTCCTTGGAAAAATATTGTTAACATATCACAAAATTTTATAAAGACAAAAATTCATTTGAAACATTGGCGGAGCACGCTCGTTTACTTTATTTTAACATTGCAATATATCTTTATTGTAACTTATAGGCGTTATTACAAAAAAGACCCGAAATTATTTGAAAATGTAAGGTTATACAACAGTTTCGGTCACATATCCAGCCATTACAATGATTGGATTTTTTAACATATAGGAATAGACATGATGTTTGTGTCAAATGCGATTCCAACGCCTATTCTGAGTTATTTTTCAATTGAACACTCGTTAATTCAGGGCGAGGGAAGTTCTGTCGAAATAACTTTCGACCAATTTTTTCCTTACGTTTCCCTAGGGTACGAAAAAGTGGTCTCCCGTTTCCGTCTGTGTCAATTATTATTAGGTAGATAGTCACCGAACTAGTGGACCGACTGTTGAGAAAATTTGTATGTATATTAGGAATATAATGTAGATGGTAAAACACTTACCAAAATTTGGCTAATCATCCCCACCAATAATTTGATGACGTCCGCTCATTATATTGCGTAATACACATTATCTAAATTTTGTCTGGTGGGCGGTCGCTCTTTTTCTTAATCGCTATTTTAGGCCTTTTTTTTCATATTCGAGGAGGTAGAAAACGTCCAAGAAATATGAAATTAAGCATTCGTCCGAAGAACTCCACTACAATACGCCTATACACAAATTTAGTAACACAAGAAGTCACTATACGTCGAAAAACGGCGTATTCTCTTTAGAAATACAATAATTACTTAGGAGCTATTTTACTCCAAAAAATTTGTGAGTTTGTACCAAATGGTTTGTAGTTTGTAATATAACCACGAATCGAAAGAAGTAGTTTTTGTAGTATAAATTATGGAACAAAAACCAAAATTGGAAAATACAAGTAATTGGAATAAGAAAAATTTGACTTCAATGCACGAACGTGAATATTTTATTTTTCTCTACAACCATGAAAAACTCTTTTCGATCATAATACCACTGCTCACTGAATTTAACAATGGTTAAAACAGCAAAAGAGCTAAATTTATTCCACATCAAAGAGATTGTAAAAGAACTGTCCCATGCGGATTTTTTCCACTTGAATTAGATTATTATCCCTTTTTTCTTTTTCAGTTCTGCAACCACATTTTTAATTATAAAATACAATGCATAACATAAAATTATTCTGCGTCAATTCTTATCTACCAATATAATATGAATAGAAACAATTTTTTCTAATATAAACAAATACATAACGTAAAGAAATTAACCAGCATACAGTATAATGTTTTTAGTTATTTATAGAGGACTTCTTTTGTTTCAAGTACAGACATATGACTTGGTATCAGTATATGTATTATTCAGTCTGGAGTTATTTAATAATTTTTTAAGGTGATCTCATAAAATTTTCGGTTCGGCTCGGTAGATGTAGTTAAGTTTGAAATGGTTATTTTAATATGTTACATAATTTAGACAACATATAAATTCTTTCTAAAAAAAACATTAAACTTCTTACTTTGCAGACTCAATAAATAAATTTAAAAATGTTTGTGTTAAGCAATTCAAGAACTACCTTTTTGAGAAACTAATAAGCAGTCAATATAATAAAAATTTAAGTTTATATGGTTTTTACACAGATTTCAATGATTCCCTTTTTTTATTTATTTATTTTTTCGTTGTATACGGGCAAAATATTATGAGCTA